ATGTTAAAGAGAAGTGGAGATAGTGGGCAGCCTTGTCTGGTTCCTGATTTTGATGGGAATGCTTCCTGTTTTTCTCCATTTAGAATGATGTTGGCTGTGGGTTTGTTATATATGGCTTTAATTATGTTGAGATATGTTCCCTCCAATCCAATTCTCTCTAGGACTTTGAACATAAATGCATGTTGAATTTTGTCAAAGGCCTTCTCTGCATCTATTGAGATGACCATGTGGTTCTTGTCGTTGAGCCCATTTATGTGATTTATGACGTTTATTGACTTACGTATATTGAACCATCCCTGCATCTCTGGGATAAAGCTGACTTGATCATGGTGGATGACCTTTTTGATGTGTATCCGTATGCGGCTTGCAAGTATCTTGTTCAGAATTTATAACTATGTTTCTTAATATGATAAATTTACAAAATATTTTCATTTCAAATAAATAACCTCTTAAGATAATGTACCATATACAAAGGAGACAGTTAAGACTCAATATATCCAACACACTCTTCTTTTTAGTCATTTATGTAATATAGAAATATATCTTTCATCTTCCATATATAACAGTCAGTTTGAAATGGACACAGCAAATACCTTTCTGGAACAAGAAATATCATGAGGTAGGGTGTGATGGTGTACATACTTGTAATCCCAGCTCTCGGGAAGGCAAGGGAAGATTTCAAGTTTGAGTTCAGCCTGAGCTATATAGAAACTTCCAGGTCATCCTGGACTACACAGTGAGAATCTGGTGCACAACCTAGGATTTAGGTCAGTGGTAGAGTGCTCGCCTAGCATTCAGGAAACCACAGGCTGTCCCCAGCAGTAAGAAAAAGGATGAGGAGGATCAAGCAGGACCAAGCTAATTTGTGTTTGCCTTCTCTAATCAGACGTACCTTCAACAGATGATACCTTTCAGCACGAATTGCCAGAATGTTTTCGATTGAAGGAATATCATCTGGTAGTTCTGTCTCGGCCAGTTCAGTTCCAAAGGACTGCAGCATCTGAGCCATTTCTTTCACTGTGACGGCAAAATTTTCTATCGCCTGTTAAAAGCCAGAGGATCACTGATGGAAACTGTGCCGACGAATCAAAATTTGGGTCTCAACAGCAATCACTTATGCTATGAACTCTTCTATGCTAAGAAAATTTGGCACCACCCCTGATAATCTACACTAACTGTGTCTAAACTCCAAGAGACTAAAAACCAGAATTAAAAGTCTTGTTGAATGTATTTTTCTATTCTTCTGTGCTTGTTCATTGAACACTCATGAAAACTCTTTCCAAATGGTACAACGTGCTGAGTAATTTGCCTTATGGCCTTGGATATTAGTTTTCCTACCTCTTTCAGACTCTGCACTTGGCAAAACTGCATTATAAGTTTATTTCTAAAGAGATTCAAGAACAGTGAAGCCAGTTTATATTTATTATCATTTATGATTAGCACTCCGAAAACATAATGGTCTAAGGAACTGGAGAGTAACTTCCCTCAACAATTCATTGCAGGTACTGCCATAGATCTAGAAATTGTTATCCCAAAGGTGCTGTTGCCCTAAAACAGCTAGGAAGACTGCATGATTCTGTTTCCAAAATCAACAACTCACGGGAAGATGGGGAAAATGCGGAGACGATATGAACCATCTGTTTACCATGTAGTTGAAGGGATTTGCTCTTTCGTGTAGGCTTCATATGTTATTAAGAGCTAGACACTGCTCATTTACACAGTTCACCCTCATGCAAACAAGTGAATTGTTGGATGAACTGTTGTGCTGAATGATCTGCCAAACAGATCGTTAGAATGAAGAATAGGCATATGGGGAAATGCAACTCTGATTTAGTGCCCTCATTATTTTCTTCAGAAGTGTTTTCATATCTGTGAGAATGAAAGTCAGGACACTTCAAAGCCAGGCTTCCACCTGGGAGGCACAAGGCCCTCACCTCTTTACAAATCTCTAAAACAGGATTCAGTCACAAATCAAATTGCCACTGAAGCGTCACTAGACTCAATTCCATTTACTGAGGATTTGCCACATACTAGGCACTGAGTCAAACATTCTGCACTTGTTCCCTCATTCAGTCTTCCCCAGATCCCTATAAGGTAAAGCATTATTTATCTCATTTTATCGTGTAAAGACTCTAAGAGGATGTATATATTGTCAAAGATCACGCAGCTATAACTCAGCAGTGCCAGGATTACAACACAAACTCTTTGTCTTTGTTACTACATGACCACAGGAAGGGATGAGCAGAGCATGATCTCCTTATTCCCTAGGCCTCTCCTTCAACTGCCATCCTGTGTGACTCTCCATCATTTCTAAATATTTCCTATGGAAGAAAACCAAGATACTGAATTATAAATGTATTTGAAAATAGGAGACCCAAAATCTGCTTTTCCCAAGTAGGAAAAATTTCTAGAGGTAGATTGTAAGGCTAGAAGGAATGATAGGCTCTACAGTAAGGGCAAAAGCAACATACATTTCTGAAGATGATCCATTCACTGTGGCAGTACTGCAAGGTGCCGCCTAACTCAGGGGTTAACTGCTTGTCATCAATGTATGTCAGCAAATCACTAACTGAGCTCAGCATAACAACCTATATAAATAAGCAAGAAAGATACTGTTAACTGCCCTTCATGACATCCCTCCATTAAACTGCAAAATGAATTTTAGCATACACTTAGCAGAAAGTTATCTTCTATAAATGTTTCCAACAGTTCTCTGCATGCCCCACACCTGAAGGCGTTACCTTATTCAGATAATAACAGTTTTTATTTATAAAACATCTCTGTCAACCAAAATTAGCCTCCATAGAAACTGTAACACCTAATTATTCTTGTCTAAAAGGTTTCATTATTAAAGAACAAGGCCTTGTGGGGGAAAAAAAAGCTGTGTTCAGAACAAGGCAAAAGGAATTTATGTAGTAAGTTAAGATTCAAGTGTCATTTTTTTATGACCTCTCTATTCCAAACAATAAAAACATGCAAAGATATATTTCCAAAATAAAGACAATGGCACTCTGAACTGGCTTAGGATGTGAGTTCATGGAATTTCAGATACACAAAACATATACTCAACGTTAACTAAAACAAAAACTCCTAATCATATGGACATACAGATACAAACCAACATATGTAACACATAACATATTTTTCAAAAGGAATCATTTTCTTGTAAGTTGCATAAACTATTCCTTTTTAACCATAGAAGCAGGTGACTATGGGGCATTTCAGAATTATGTTGTTTGAAGATAGGTTTTATTTTAAATGTTATATGTGCACATGTAAAACAAACGGTATAGAATGCATAAAAATTAGAAAAACAAAATATTTAGACAAGACCCTTACTGGTAGTTTGAGCATGAAATCCTCCTGGCTAAATCGAAATCCAATGTCTGTGAAAGTTCGTTGAAGAAAATTGGTAGGGCGTAAAACCAGAACTAAGTGTAAGCTCCCAGGGAAAGAAATCTGTAGCAAAAAAAAAGAGTAAACGGTACAAAATTGGTAAAATAAGCAACCAGCTGAGCACATATCAGAAAAGGTCATTGAAGGAAACAAATTTTAAAGTCATAAAAGTCAGTAAAAGGCCAATGCTTTAAAATGGAAACTGATAATATCTAAAAATAACTTGGAAATAGAAATGGAAATAAAAATAACATAAGGTTATCAGGTCAGATGCTTCTAATGTTCCCGGTACGGCATTTTCTCATACAAGACAACAGATACTAACTTGTAAAGAATTGGACTTGCTAAAGCCAGGTGTGTTGGCACACGCCTTTAGTCCCAGCACTCGGGAGGCAGAGGTAGGCAGATGATTTTGAGGCCAGCCTGGTCTGTATAGTGAGTTCATACATTATAATTACCCCCACCGCAAAATAAGATACCAGAGCTCTTTCCCTCTTTAGCTGTACTTTGGTACCAACTATCTGACCTCTCTCTAGCTCTCTTCCCCCTTTCCCTTCCTAAACTAAGTGATGTCTATTCTACTTTCTACTTCAATATGATCAAATTTTTGTTAGATTCTATCAATGAATGACAATATTAAATTAGCAGTCTTTCTGTGCCTAGCTTATTTGACCCAATAAAATGTCCTCCATTTCCATCCATGTTGCCAAAAATAGTGGTATGTCATACTTTTATGACTGAATATTCTATCGTGTATGTTGTTGGGGGCAAGGATTTGGGCAGTGTCTCCCTGTAGCCCCAATAGGCCTGGAACTCATAGATCAGGCTGGACTTGATCTCAGAGAAATCCACTTGCCTTTGCCCTCCCAAGTGCTGGGATTAAAGGCGTGTGCTAACATGCCTGGCTTACCACATTTTCTTTGTCCATTCACCGGTGCATGGCCCCATACCTTGGCTATCATTGATAGTGCTGCAATCAACATGGATATAAAGGTATCTCTTTGATATAATCATTTCAATTTCTTTGGATATACCCATAAGTGGGATTGTTGAATTGTATTTTCAATTTCTTTTAGTAACCTCTATTTTTCCAATAATGGCTGTATTAATTTATATTTCCACCATGCAAATGGGGGGTTTCTTCATTCTCCAAATCTATACTAACAAGTTTAACAAGTTTGTTTGTTTGTTTTGTCATTTTGATTTCAGCAATTCTAGCCTCACTGAGCTTTTAATTTGCAGTTCCATGATGATTAGTGATGGTGAGAATTTTATGTGTACCTGTTGGATTTGCATGTCTTCTGTTAAGAAATGTCTATTCAGATCATTTTCCAATGTTTTAATTAGACTGGGCTTTGGGGAGAGGGTGGTTTTGCTGGTGAGAGTTATTTATTTATTTATGTATTTATTTACCTTTACAATCTAGATGTTAACCCCTTGTCAGGTAAACAGTCACAAATACTTTCCCCATGTGCAGGCTATTTCTCAATTATGTTCATTGTTTCCTTTGTTGTACAAAAGTTGTTTTGTTTGATTTAATCATGTTTGCCTATTTATACTTTAGGGCCTGAGTTTTGGGGATTATATCCAAAACTTATTTACCAGTCCCAATTCCTTTAAACACTGCTCCTATATTTCTGTTAGTATTAATAGTTTCATAAATTTGGATTTTATGGGAGTTGGAGAGATGACTCGGCAGTTAAGAGCTCATACTGCTCTTGTAGAGAACTTGAGTTGTGTTCCCAGTATCCACATCAGGAAGCTCACAACCACCTCCAGCTCCAGAAGGATCCAACACCTTCTTTTGGCCTCCATGGACACACACACACACACACACACACACACACACACACACACAAATGAAATCTTTAGAGAAAAAAAAATTG